TCTTATCTGTCTGACTTAATGTTTGGAATCTATTTTTTTTTTTTTAAGAGACAGGGTTGGCCAGGAGCAGTGGCTCATCCCTATAATCCCAGCACTTTGGGAGGCTGAGGCAGGTGGATCACCTGAAGTCAGGAGTTCGAGACCAGTCTGGCCAACATGGTGAAACCCCGTCTCTACTAAAAATATTTTTTTAAAAATTAGCTGCGTGTGGTTGCAGGTGTCTGTGGTCCCAGCTACTTGGGAGGCTGAGGCAGGAGAATGGCTTGACCCAGGGCGTGGAAGTTGCAGTGAGCTGAGATCGTGTCATTGTACTCCAGCCTGGGTGACAGAGCGAGACTCTGTCTCAAAAAGAGATGGGGTTTCACTCTGTCACCCAGGCTGGAGTGCGGTAGTGCAATCATGGCTCACTACAGCCTTAAACTCCTGGGCTCAAGCGATCTTCACACCTCAGCCTCCTGAGTGGACTGAACTACAAGTGCATGGCACCAAGCCCAGGTAACTTTTTAATTTTCATTTTTGTAGAGATGGGGTCTTCATATGCTTCCTAGGCTGGTCTCCAACTCTTGAGCTAAAGTGATCCACCTGCCTCAGCCTCCCAAAGTGCTGGGATCACAGGTGTAAGGTACCCACCCACCCCTCTCTCAGTCTTTCTAACACAACCTACAATAGCTTAGTCCAAAGGCATTTCTAAGAAACTCCTGCCTGTTGCTCTATGAAGGTGGAATAACAGGACTGCTGAGAGAAATAGAATCAACAGCTGTTAAAAATAAACTAATTTGGAGCCAAAGCTTTTCTTTCATAAATATGACTAAATAAAAAAAAGGTCATGACTTAAGATACTAAAGTCAACAGAACTTTGGAATGGAAAAGATCTGAGACTATTTACTCCAAATGTCCCTGTTTACAGATGAGGACCAGAGGCCTCCATCCCTGGATGACCTGCTGATGGATAGACCCGGGTCACCCAGGGCCCAGACAACTCCACTCTTTCCATGAGGGTTCACAGCTTGAGTGCATCTCATTCATGATTCTTTGACAAAACTTGTCAATTTTTCTTCAGCTACTAACGTCATTAAAATATGGGGATAATGATTCTGCATAACGAAAGAGAGATACTAAAAAAATAATCTCAGCCATTGTTGTGAGCTTCTCTCTCACTCACACGTTAGGCACATGTTCACAAGGCAGCCTGGTACCATGCTAGGACAAGGTACAGAGCAGAGGGGAGGGGCTGTCTTCCCTCAGAGGAACTAACCAAGTCTTCGGCAGTAGGAGGTAAATGTAGAGAAAGGAAGGGTACAGGGCCAGGTGGCCAATTCCACCTCTCCACCTTCCAGAGTGGCTCTATGGGATGCCCTTGTCTCTGCCAGCAATCCTCAATTCACTGCACTCACCTGGGTTGCCCTGACCAACAAACCCAATCTTTAGACAGGAAAACCCCAGAGCAAGAATTTTATTGTACAACTTAATAACCTGCATTTAAAAAATGGTTGGATTCATTACTCAAAGTATGGAAACACATATTTTTATTGACATTTTAAGCACTTTAAGAATGAATTGCTGGGCCGGGCGCGGTGGCTCAAGCCTGTAATCCCAGCACTGTGGGAGGCCGAGGCGGGTGGATCACGAGGTCAAGAGATCGAGACCATCCTGGTCAACATGGTGAAA